TTTTTTTTAAATTTCCTCTTAAACTTTTTTTTAATTCTTTTTTGTTAAATTTTTTCTTTTTTAATTTTCTCTCTTTTTAAAATTTTCTTTTAGTTTCAAAAACATTTCTTTTTTTAAAAAAAATTCTCGTTTTTAATATTTTCTTTCCTTTTTAAAAAAATTTTAAACAATTTTTCTTCATTAAGACATTTCTGGCCTGGGCAAGAGGGGGTTCAGCTGCTTGGGGGAAAAAGTGGGGGCTGGGAAGTGGCRATTTGGGCACAAAGGGTGGGGTTTGGGGCAGGTTGGGCAATGTTTGAGCAACYCAGGGTGGGTTTGTTGTGTAAGGGGAAAGAGAACAACAAAAAAAAAGGAGAAAATTGAGGTCTGAGATGAGAAAAGAATGTCACTTCCTCAAATCATCTGTTCTGGAGCTCTCTGTGATTCTGAATTTTGGGGGAAAAGGAGATTTTCCTGCTGGGCTTTGTGAGATCCTGAACTGGGGTCCCCTGCAGGGTTCTGTGTCCCCTTGGTGTCACCCTGAGCTGGATCATTCTGGGAGCCTGGAGGTGCTCCAGGGGATGGGGATGGGATGTGGGATGGGATGGGATGTGGGAATGGTGTCCCTGCTGTCCCTGCCCTGTTTTTCCCTCTGTTCTTTCTCAATTTTTCCCTCTGTCCCCACCCTGTTTTCTCCTCTCCATGCTCTTGCAGACCCATGAGTGTCCCCTGAAAAGCAGAACCCCCATTTTTCACTTGCTCCTTGGAAGTGAAAGGGACTTTACCCTTTCCCTTTTCCCCTTCCCCTTTCCCTTTTCCCCTTCCCCTTTTCCCTTCCATTTCCTCCTTTCCTCCTTTCCTTTCCCGTTTCCTTTCCCCTTCTCCCCTTTGCTTTCTCCCTTTCCCTTTTTCCCCTTCTCCTTTCCCTTTCCCCTTTCCCTTTCCCCTTTTCCCCTTTCCCCTCTCCCCTTTCCCCTTCCCTTTCCTCCTTTCCTTTCCCCTTTCCTTTCCCCTTCTCCCCTTTGCTTTCTCCCTTTCCCTTTTTCCCCTTCTCCTTTCCCTTTTCCCCCTCTCCCCCCTTTTTCCCCTTTTTTCCCTTTCCCTTTCCCTTTTCCCTTTTCCCTTTCCCTTTCCCTTTCCCTTTCCTTTTTCCCATTTTCCCCCTTTCCCCTTTCCTTTCCCCTTTCCCCCTTCTCCCTTTCCCTTCCCCCTTCCCCCCATCCCCATCCCCACCCCAAACAACCCCATAACTCCATTCCCCACTCTCCCYACAGCACTGGGAGCTGCTGGTGCTGGAGAAGCTCAAGTGGGACCTGGTTTCGGTGATCGCCAACGATTTTGTGGCTCACATCCTGCACCGGCTGCCGCTGCCCGCCGACCGGGCAGAGCTGGTGAAGAAACACGCGCAGACCTTCATCGCYCTCTGCGCCACAGGTGGGTGCTGGGCAAAATTTGGGGTGCTGGGGTGGGCTCCTCACATTTTTTTGGGGTGCTGGGTTCTGCCCCCATTCCTTTTCGAGGCGGGTGTTCAGGGCTCGGTCACGGATTTTCTCAGCCTTTGCCTCGGTTTGTGGAGCTGCTTCACCTTTGGGTTTCACCCCTTTCTGCTCAGCCTCTTCCTGTTCCTCCATCCTGGTTTCTCCCTGTGCTTTTCGAGGCCCTCCCGGGGAAAATCCTGCTCCCAAAATTCCCATTGTATCCTCCCTAATGGCTCCTTTCTGTTCCCAAACTCCCATTCATCCTTTCTAACGGGGAAAATTTCTTTCCCAAATTCCTGTGCATCCCCACTAATGGGGGAAAATCCCGCTCCCAGAATCCCTGTGCATCCTCCCTAATGGYTCCTTCCTGCTCCCAAATTCCYGAGCATCATCTCTTAACAGGGAGAATCCCACTCCCAAATTCCYGTTCATCCTCACTMACTGGGAAAATCCYGCTCCCAAAATTCCTGTGCATCCCCACTAACTTGGAAAATCCCGCTCCCAAACTCCTGTGCATCCCTACTCCTGTGCTCCCAAACTCCACGAGCATCCTCCTAATAGCTCCTTCCTGTTCCCAAATTCCTCTGCATCCCTTCTAATGGGAAAAATCCCACTCCCAAATTCCCGTTCATCCCCTCTAACAGGGAAAATCCTGCTTCATCCCCTCTAACAGGGCAAACCCCATTTCTAAACCCCGTTCATCCCTTCTAAATGGGAAAATCCCACTCCCAAACCCCGTTCATCCCCTCTAACAGTGCAAACCCCACTCTTCAACCCCCGTTGATCCCCTCTAACAGGGCAAACCCCATTCCCAAACCCCGTTCATCCCCTCTAATGGGGCAAACCCCATTCCCAAACCACATTCATCCCCATCAATGGGGAAAATCCCATTCCCAAACCCCGTTCATCCCCTCTAACAGGGCAAACCCCATTCCCAAACCCCATTAATCCCCTCTAACAGGGCAAACCCCATTCCCAAACCCCATTAATCCCCCTGACGGCTCTCCCTGTCCCTGTCCCATCCCAGATCACACCTTTGCCCTGTACCCCCCGTCCATGATCGCCACCGGCAGCATCGGCGCCGCCATCCACGGGCTGGGGCTGCCCCTCAACGGCTGCGGCGGAGAGGAGCTCACCGAGCTGCTGGCTGGCATCACGGGCACCGAGGTGGTGAGTGCACACCGGGGGGACACCGGGGTGGCACTGGGATGGCACCAGGATGACGCCAGGAATGGCACAGGGGTGGCACTGAGAGTGGCACTGGGATGGTATTGAGGTGACACTGGCAATGACACTGGGGTGGCACTGGGGATGGCACCAGGATGGCACTGGGGATGGCACTGGGATGACACCAAGAATGGCACTTGGGTGGCACTGGGAATGGCACTGGGATGGTATTGAGGTGGCACAGAAAGGGGCACTGGGATGGCACCAGGATGGCACTGGGGTGGCACAGGGGAATGGTATTGGGATAGCGTTGGGGTGGCACTGGGGTGGCACTGGGAATGGCACTGGGGTGGCACTGGGATGACACCAGGAATGGCACTGGGATGACACTGAGATGGCACAAAGATGGCACCAGGATGACATGAGGAATGGCACCGGGGTGGCACTGAGAATGGCACTGGGTTGGTATTGAGGTGGCACAGAGAGTGGCATTGGGATGGCACCGGGGATGGCAATGTGATGGCACCAGGAATGGCACTGGGATGGCACTGGGGATGGCACCGGGATGACGCCAGGAATGGCACAGGGGTGGCACTGAGAGTGGCACTGGGATGGTATTGAGGTGACACTGGCAATGACACTGGGGTGGCACTGGGATGACACCAGGAATGGCACTGGGATGGCACTGGGGATGGCATCAGGATGACACCAGGAATGGTACGGAGGTGGCACTGGGATGGCACCAGGATGACACCAGGAATGGCACCGGGGTGGCACTGAGAGTGGCACTGGGATGGTATTGAGGTGACACTGGCAATGACACTGGGGTGGCACTGGGATGACACCAGGAATGGCACTGGGAATGGCACTGGGATGGCACTGCGATGACACCAGGAATGGCACTGGGATGGCACCAGGATGGCACTGAGATGGCACAGGGGAATGTTATCGGGATGGCATTGGGGTGGCACTGGGGTGACAGTGGGATGACATTGGGAATGGCACTAGGATGGCACTGGGATGACACCAGGAATGGCACCGGGGTGGCACTGGGGTGGCATTGAGAATGACGCTGGGATGGTATTGAGGTGGCACAGAGAGTGGCATTGGGATGGCGCCGGGGATGGCACTGCGATGGCACCAGGATGACACCAAGAATGGCACCAAGATGGCACTAAGAGTGGCACTGGGATGGTATTTAGGTGACACTGGGGTGGCACTGGGATGGCACTGGGATTGCACCAGGATGACACCAAGAATGGCAGTTGGGTGGCATTGGGAATGGCATTGGGATGGTATTGAGGTGGCATTGGCAATGACACTGGGGTGGCACTGGGATGACACCAGGGGTGACAGTGGGATGACACTGAGGTGGCACTGGGATGGCACCAGGATGACACCAGGAAGGGCACCAGGGTGGCACTGGGGTGGCACTGAGAATGGCACTGCGTTGGTATTGAGGTGGCACAGAGAGTGGCATTGGGATGGCGCCGGGGTGGCACTGGCATGGCACCAGGATGACACCAGGAATGGTACCGAGGTGGCACTGGGGATGGCACTGGGATGGTATTGAGGTGACACTGGGAATGGCACTGGGATGGCACTAGGTTGGCACTGGAATTGCACCAGGATGACACCAAGAATGGCACCAGGGTGGCACTGGGAATGGCATTGGGATGGTATTGAGGTGGCATTGGCAATGACACTGGGGTGGCACTGGGATGGCACCAGGAATGGCACTGGGATGACACTGGGGATGGCATCAGGATGACACCAGGAATGGTACCGAGGTGGCACTGGGGATGGCACTGGGATGGTATTTATGTGACACTGGGAATGACACTGGGGATGGTGCTGGGATGGCTCCAGGATGGCACTGGGGTGGCACAGGGGAATGGTATTGGGATGGCATCGGGGTGGTACTGGGATGACGTTGGGAATGGCACTGGGATGACACTGAGGTGGCACAAGGATGGCACTGGGGATAGCACCAGGAATGGCACTGGGATGGCACTGGGGATAGCACCTGGAATGGCACTGGGATGGCACCGGGGGTGGCACCTGGAATGGCACCGGAATGGGGCTGAGATGACACTGGGATGGTGCTGGAATGGGGCTGGGATGGCACCAGGAATGGTACTGGGATGGCACCAGGAATGGTACTGGGATGGCATCAGGATGCTGCTGTAGTGGCACTGGGATGGGGCTGGGATTGCACTGGAGTGGCACTAGGATGGCACCAGGGATGGCACCTGAAATGGCACTGGGAATGGTACTGGGATGGTATTGAGGTGGCATTGGGAATGGCACTGGAGTGGCACCAGGAATGACACTAGAATGGCACCAGGATAGCACTGGGAATAGCACTGAGGTGGCACTGGATGATCTCAGAGGGCTGTGGGTGATCCTAAAGGGCTATGGGTGATCCCAAAAGGCTGCAGGATGATCCCAAAGAGCTGTGGGTGATCCCAAAGAGCTGTGGACGAACCCAAAAGGCTGTGCCATTATCGCAAGGGCTGTGGGATGATCCTAGAGGTCTGTGGGATGATCCCAAAAGCCTGTAGGGTGATCCCAAAAGGCTGCGGGATGATCCCAAAAGCCTGTAGGGTGATCCCAAAAGGCTGCGGGATGATCCCAAAAGGCTGTGCCATGATCCCAAAGCCAGCCCCGGGAGCCTTTGTAAGGCCACACAAAGGGCAGGATCCATTCCCTGCCCAGGCAGGTGCTGCCAGGATCGGGTTCAGGGCTGGGATGGGCACAGGGAYGTGCCAGGCCTGGCATCTGCTGCCCTCAGTGTCCGATTTCAGGTGCCAGGCTGGGGGGAAGGSGGGGCTGGGCACACAGAACCTTCCAGATTTGGGGCCAGTGGGAATTTTCCCCCATCAGGAATTTTCCCTCCCCTTTGATCTGCTCTGGTGCCCGGCTCGGTTTCAGTCCCTGGCAGGGCCTGGCTCGGGGGCGGGTGGTGCTTTTGCCCAGCCCGTGACTCAGATGGAATTTTTTTTGTTCTCCGGAGCTTTTTTTAAACCAAAAATCAGTGCAGCCACCTGGTGCCAACCTGCTYGGGGTGTGGAACAGGTGGGAGGCAGGGAGGGCACCGGGGAGGGCACAAAGAGAGCCTGGCACCCCACAGCCCCTCCCCAGCATCTGCTGTGCCCCCTGCCCGGGTGTGAGGGGGCACAACAGCCCCAGCATCCACATCCCGCAGCGTTTTGGGTTCCTGGAGAGCCCCTGGGTTCAGCTTCCCCTGCCTCTCCTGGCAAGGAGCAATCAGTGGGGGTGAACGGGGTTTGGGAATGGGRWTTTSMCYKKTTAGTGGGGATGAATGGGGTTTGGGAATGGGATTTTCCCTGTTAGAGGGGATGAATGGGGTTTGGGAATGGGATTTTCCCTGTTAGTGGGGATGAATGGGGTTTGGGAATGGGATTTTCACTGTTAGAGGGGATGAATGGGGTTTGGGAATGGGATTTTCCCTGTTAGTGGGGATGAAYGGGRTTTGGGAATGGGATTTGCCCTGTTAGTGGGGATGAACGGGGTTTGGGAATGGGATTTTCCCTGTTAGTGGGGATGAATGGGGTTTGGGAATGGGATTTTCACTGTTAGAGGGGATGAATGGGGTTTGGGAGTGGGATCCTCCCCACTAGGGAGGATAAGCAGAAGTCTGGGAACAGGAAGGAGCCATTACTGGGAATGAACAGGAGTTTGGGAGCGGGATTTTGCCTGTTAGTGTGGATGAACGGGGGTTGGGAGTGGGATTTTCCCCATTAATGGGGATGAATTCGGTTTGGGAGCAGGATTTTCCCCATTAATGGGGAATTTGGGAGCAGGAAGGAGATGTTAGGAAGGATGCAGGAAGGAGCCCATAGTGGGGGTGAATGGGGATTTTGGGAATGGGATTTTCCCTGTTAGTGTGGATGAACAGGGTTTGGGAGCAGGAAGGAGCCATTAGGGAGGATGCATGGGAGTTCTGGGAATGGCGGTGACTCAGTTTCCCCTCTGGAGGAGCAATTCCCTTTCCTGCAGCTCCCAGGCCCAGCTGGGCAGTGCTGGGAATGCCGGGAGGGGCTGCAGTGGAGAGACTGGGATGGACTGGCCATGGGGATGGACAGACTGGGATGGGTGGCTGTGGTGAAGGAGAACCTGGGAATGGCTGGGATTGGAGATGGTCAGCCCAGGGGTGGTGATGGAGAGCTCAGGATGGCGATGGAGAGCCCAGGGATGGACTGGCCATGGTGATGGACAGCCCAGGGCCAGGTGTCCATGGTGATGGAGATCCTGGGATGGTGATGGACAGCTGGGGATGGTGACAGAGAGCCCTGGGTTGGATTTGCCATGGGGATGGAGAGACTGGGATGGACTGGCCATGGGGATGGAGAGCCCGTGGCTGGGTGTCCCTGGGGATGGAGAGCCCGTGGCTGGGTGTCCCTGGGGATGGAGAGCCCGTGGCTGGGTGTCCATGGGGATGGAGAGCCCATGGCTGGGTGTCCATGGGGATGGAGAGCCCATGGCTGGGTGTCCCTGGGGATGGAGAGCCCGTGGCCAGGTGTCCGTGGGGATGGAGAGCCCATGGCTGGGTGTCCATGGGGATGGAGAGCCCATGGCTGGGTGTCCATGGGGATGGAGAGCTCATGGCCAGGTGTCCGTGGGGGTGGAGATCCCATGTCTGGGTGTCCCTGGAGCCGCAGGGACAGTGCTGTGCTGGCAGCAGGAGGAGGGGGAAGCGTGGAGCAGGGGAGCCGGGGCAGGGGAGCGCCGGGCGTTGCTATTTTCGCTCACCACATCCTCTGACAGTTTCTAAGAAGCACTGGCGGGTTCCTGGTAAGAGATTTCGGGGCCGTGCCGATGTCCCATGAGGTGCAAACCGCCGAGCTGAGCCGAGCTGAGCCGAGCTGAGCCGGGCTGGGCTGTACCCCTGGGGCGCTCCCCTGTCCGAGTGGGAGTTTCCTCCTCTGGGTACAGCTCATGGGGCAAAAACCAGAGTGGGGTTTGCATTTATAGCACTGATGGATGCTCTGTGCACCCCAAACTCTGGGAGTGCTGGGACCACCCCAACTCTGGCAATGGGGTGAGTTTGAGGGCCCGGGGAGCTGGCAGCAGCTCCGTGTTCCAAGGACATTTCTGGATCTGGGAAGTTCTGTCCCTCTGGAGCTCTGCCCTCCCCTTTCCCTGCTGCTGCACCCACACCCCATCCCCAGGGTGCTTTGGGCAGCTCTGCCGGACAGTCCTGCAGGAATGGGGTCAGCAGGGAGCAGGGGGAGGCCACAAAGCCCAGCAGAGCTGGAGATGCTCCCGATGGAGAAAAGCTCCTTTTCCCTGGGGGCTTCGATGTGCAGCCCAGCAGCTCCCACCTTTTCCTAAACCTTTYTCCTCCCTCTGCCACTCCTGAGCAGCCCAGAACTGACCCCTCCCGTGATTTTCCCCATGTCCAGGACTGCCTGAAGGCCTGTCAGGAGCAGATCGAGGCGGCCTTAGCCGAGAGCCTGAAGCAGGCGTCGCAGTCACAGCAGGAATTGAGCTCCAAGGCGGCGGCAGCGTACGGGGGCAGCCAGCCCACAAGCACCCCCACGGATGTCACCGATGTCAACCTGTGACCAGCGCCCTCCCGACAGCTCCGGCCACCCCCAGCTCGCCACATCACCCCATCCCAAGCCGGGGACGCGGAGCAGAGCCGGGATGGAGTTGGGATTGTTTCTGTGTTCACCGGGACTCAGCTCCGCGAGGGACACAAATCACAGAGCCAGTGCTGCCGGAGCTGGATCCTCATCACCCCCGGCTCCTGCAGCCACGGGGCTCGTGGAGCAGCTGCTTGGTGGCTCCTCGGTCCCGATGGCTTCGTGCCACGTCCCCGCAGCTGCTTCTGCTTGGAGAGGAGCTGTGGGGTTYGCTGGTTTTCGCTGTCGGATTTGGGGTTTTGGGAGGGCTTTGGGATCGGGTGCCGTCCCCTCGGCTTTTCCGCTGGCCCACCGGAGGCTGCTTAATTTATTTTTCACTGCTGGGAAACGGGGAGGGAGGAGACCTGGCATTCCTCGGGGTGGTGCCGCTCTCCTCTCCTTCCCAAAAAAAAAAAGTGCCTTCCCCCTTCGCCCCTTCCCCTGGCTCCCTGGGCTTTGGGAGATTCTYGCTCGTTGGCCCTTTTGTAGTTTAGGCATCAGACTAGGATTTCAAGATTTAAAAAAATTTAAGGAAAAACTTTGAACGTGCTGCTATGGTCTGGGATGCATCTCCACTCTTCCAGGGCAGGGATTTCGGATCACACTCAGCAGGGAGGGGGGTCCGAGCCGCCTCCTGAGAGGGTGGGAAAACTTTGCTGCGCACTTGAGTTGGGAAAAGCGATTTTACTGCATTTTTGTATTGTTGTCGTTGATCCCGTTAAGTTTTTTGTATTAAAAAAAAAGTGTTTTAAAATAGAAAAAAAAAAATAATGCTGCTTTTCTATGAGGAAAAACCATTACAGAGTGGAACGAAGCAGGAGAATCCGGAGGGATTCTCTGGTTCCTCTGTGGGAACCAGAGGCAGACGCTGCTGCTGCCGCCACCTGAGGATCTCTGGTGGCTCCGTGGCTGTGGTCCTCCCGTGGGAGGATGTGGAAAATGAGGTCRAAATCTTCTTTTTTGGATGCCACCAGCCACACAAAAATCAGGCGGAAAAAGGTGGGGCTGCTGCTCCTCCCTGAGGTTGCCTCGTCCGGAAACTCACGGAGCCACTGCTGCCTCCTGAGAGCAGGAGGGATGGGACGGAGCCTGACTGTGCAAAAAGGAAATGTGGTTTTTGKTTTTTTTTTTAATATAAATATATATAAATTGAGTTTTTAATTTAAGAGTAAACTGGTTTGGTGTTCCCGCTGCCAGAGAACCCTGTGATGTTGCAATAAAGGATTTTAAACAAGCAGCCGGCTCGAGGGTTTCTCTTCGCTGATCCTGGGGTGGGGCTGGGATGGGGATCTCTGGGGAGCTCCAGCCTTGAATTTTCCAGGATGGAACAGGGAAAGGGCAAACAGGACCCTCAGGGATGATGCTGGATAAACCTGGAGCCAAACACCTTCCTGCAGGTGCCCCTGGAGCAGAGGCAGCACCTCCCAGGAGATGGGAAGGGGATGGACACTGGAGCAGCTCAGGTGGTGGCAAAAGGGTGCCAGGGGCTCTGTGCCAGCCCAGGCTCCCTCTGGTGCTCATCAGCTTCCTTAAAATCTGATAAAATCAGATAAAATCAAATAAAATCAAGGAAAAGGCCGTGGTGTGTGGGGACCAGCTCCTGCTCCTGCCACGGGAGGAGGTGACAGCTCACAGAAAAAGGAGGAGGCAGCTGCCYTTGGCACAGCTCAGGGGGTGCAGCAGGRGCTCCTCTCYGTGGGCCAAACGTGCAGGACCTGCRGGGCACAGAGTGACACCCKCAGCACAGCCCGGGGAAGAGCAGCCTCAGGGAAAATCCCCTCTGGGKGGCACCTGGGTGGGCACAGTGCCAGGAGCAGGCCAGGCTGGTGGCCTAAATGGCCAGCTGAGGACAGTGGCCCCATAACTGCAGGAAGTAAACCCTGGGGGGCTTTGAGTGTTTGGGGTAGGGAGTTCCAGAGGCTGGAGGGGACAGGGACAGGGACCTGACTGACCCACACAGCTCTGGTTTTATTTCCAACTACAGGAACAAACCAAAGTGTCCCAGTGCTGGTGGCACCGGGCTCCTCTCTGGGTGGGTCAGGGGGTGCCCTGCCCCAACGAACAGCACAGGGTGTCCAGTCCAGCTCTGTGGGCACAGTCTGACCCCAGTGACCACTCAGGGCAGCAGGATCCAGGATGGACACTCCTAACCCAGGCTCCCAGGGGCAGGACAGCACAGGCTGCAGCTTTTCCATCCTGCACTTCACTCCATGGCYGCGGGCTGCTCCCCCTCCACGTCCCTCGTCTTGGAGTTCATCAGCTCGCGGCGGATCTCGGGCGAGATCTGGGGGTGGCTGTGGAACTTGAGCAGCTCGAGCAGCGCCTCTTTCTGCTCCGAGGACAGGTCCTCCTTGTAGCGCTGCGCCAGGGCCAGCAGGCTCTGGTGCCACAGCACGGGCAGGAGCCGCTGCTCCGTGCGGAAGCCCAGGAAGTGGAAGACCAGGGCGTCGAGCACGCGGAAGGGCAGCGCGTATTTCTTGTCGATGAGCAGGCGCAGGAAGATGCTGTTGGCGCCACTGTACTGCATCTCGGCCAGCTTCAGCAGCGCCGCGCTGCGGGGACAGGGACAGGGGACAGGGTCAGGGATGGAGCCACGGGGGCATGGGAGTGGTGAGGGGACAGGGGACAGGGTCAGGGATGGAGCCACGGGGG